AAACTGAAGCAAAGAAGTGTGAAGTGATTGGTCGAAGATCACAAGATGAGTGAGTGCCAGAGCTGTGATTTAAATCCAGGTGAATTAACCTCAAAATCTATGTTCTCAACAACTAACTAATCAAGTTTATCCTACATGCCAAAATTTTATTTTCCCAATGACTAACTCAAACACTAAAACAATATGATTTGTCTCTCTAATAAAGAGGAGAGTGACGAAAAGAAAGCATGGTAACAAGACTACTTTTGGCCATAATACTCAATATTCTGTACAAGGTAACCTCCCAGTAAATATATATGGTGTTACATTAATTCTTAGTTTGGTCCCTAGTCCACAATATCACAAAAAGTATCTATCAATCCAAACAGATGCTATTTCTACTCGCATAGTCTGGCATCATCTTTTGTAGAACATATCTCTTTATGTCAAGCTAAGAAAAAAAAAAAAAAAAAAGGGATTCACAGCTTCATTTAGAAAAAGATAAAATATTATGAAGGACAGAAACTATTTACAAGTGAGTTATCAGTAGTGTAATGGAGAAGTCCATGTTTCAAAGAGGAGATGATAAGACACATGAAAACTTAAAAATCCCATGGTGATAATCCAATATATGAAAATGTATAAAGCAATTTAGGCAGCAAAGGTATTTCTAGCTGGAAGAACCAGAAGGAGAAAACAAAAGCACAATTGTGTTGACCAGAAAACATAACTGAAAGTACCATAAAAATCAATGCTATATTAGAAAAGAAATAATGGGGCTCCTAATCTGTGACTACTGGAAAGAGGTTCAAAAAGAATACGTTTTAGCAAATAGATAAGTTTTTATTCCTGAAAATTCTGAAAGTTATTCCTGAAAATTTCTGAAAGAAAATACTACTAATGAGAGGGTTTTTTTTCTGCATTTCAATAGTTAAGATTTGTCTTTATATTATCAGTACTACAGAAACATAAAAAATATACATGATAAAGAACATTATAAACTGATGAACCAAAAGACAGATATAAAGACAGTAAAGCAACAAGCAGACTGTCAAATTACAGCTGGGAGGGTAGGGATATCTGGGGGAGATAAGAGATCAACCGAAGGACTTGTATACATGCATATAAGTACAACCAATAAACACAAAACTCTGAGGAGGGAGGGTATGTATGGGGGGGCAATGTTAAAATATGTACACAGATAATAATTTAATAATAAAATATATATATATATATATATATATATATATATATATATATATATATATGACCAACACATGAGACTAATCTAAATGGCTGCACCACTTTTGTTCACATGGAAAAATCATGTTTAAAAATATTATCTTAGCCGAAACCGGTTTGGCTCAGCGGTAGAGCGTCGGTCTGTGGACTGAAAGGTCCAGGTTCGATTCTGGTCAGGGACATGTACGTTGGTTGCGGGCACATCCCCGGTAGGGGGTGTGCAAGAGGCAGCTGGTCGCTGTTTCTCTCTCATCGATGTTTCTAGCTCTCTATCCCTCTCTCTTCCTCTCCATAAAAAATCAATAAAAAATATATATTAAAAATATTATCTTAGACCACCATCCACCCCCATCTGACCACCACCACCACCACCACCACCACCACTCCACCACCAATAACAATAATCTAAAAAAAAAAAAAAAAAAAAAAAAAAGTTAAAGAATTCAATTACAAGAACAAGATTTGGAACTTCCATCTAAATGCATCTCTTTGTTATAAAAGACATTAAGGAAGAAAAAAAAAAACCTCATGATTCATCAATGCCTGCCTGTTTCCTAAACCCAGGAAATTGCTTTACACCCCCCTCCTGGCTCTGGCCAGCCAAAACTATAGGTGGACAACTCTATTCATCCCTTTACCAGCAACACACTATGCTAACAGTGCATATTTACATTTCAAGGTGGTTTGTGTTAGAGTATTCCAAATTCTAAACTCACTTGCTCAGAGGTGAATTTACAAATAATTGATTTAACAAAAAGCTGTCACACTCTCCACTCAAAATTCTGATGGTGCAGCTGCTATGAAAAACAATTCCTCAAATAAAAATACCATATAACCCAGTAATTCCACTTCTGGGTATATACCCAAAAGAATTTAAATAGGGACTGAAATAGGCACTGTATTCCTAGCAGCATTAATGATTCACAATAGCCAAAACATGGGAAAGGTAAATATTAGCAGGTGTGTAAATATATATATATATATATATATATATATATATACACACACAGAATATTATTCAGCCTTAATAAGAAATTCTGACACATGGTACAACATGGATGAACATTGGAGACATTATGCTAATTGAAATAAAGGACAAGTACTATGACTCCACCTATATGAGTTACCGAAAATATTCACATTTATAGAGACAATATAGTAAAATGGTGGTTGTCAGGGGCTAGAGAGAAGAAAGAATGGGAAATTACTGTTTAATGGGTACAGAGTTACAGTTCTGCAAGATAAAAATAGTCCTAGAAATGGATGGTGGTAATGGTTGCCCAAAGTGAATTAATTTAATATCACTGAACAGAACATATAAAAATGGTTAAGATGGCAAATTTTATATTATGTGTATTCACCACAATTTCAATTTGTTTTAACTGGGAGCTGTTTTTATTTAGGGGACTAATCTTTAAAGGACAATTTAGAATATATACTTGCTTTGTAATGAGTTTGCTCATCTACCAAGTCCCAAACTAAGTCTCAGCTCTCATCTTCTATCCACTAGTTACCCAGTTATAAGAAACCAAATTATTTAGGTTGTTAAAGACAATACAAAAATCCTCCTCAAAAGCTTTTCCATACTTAGACATTGATTTATAAGAACTATTGTCCAGCAATAATCAAAATCTAAAACTTATTTTTAAAATCTAATCACATTTAAAATCTATGTCCCTATCTACAAAGGCAAAACTGAGCTCTCAAAATGTCTTAATTTTCACAAGCATATGAAGTAAACAGAATATAATTTTACTATGTTTACTTTTGAACAGGAAAACTGATTTGCCCAGTTATAGAAGAAATCAACATCTAAGTATCCATATTCCAAATCTTGAACTGCAATCTTTAACACAAATTACTGCACCTGGTTACGGATACCTGGATAAATGCTAATTTTAAAAAGTTAACCTATAAAAATATTAAGTCATAGTTAAAGTATAGAAAGAATAGTCAATTTTGAAATTAAGTCCACAAAAGCAGGTTGATCTAGAATCATTTGTAAGAGGAATACGAGGATCCTCAACACAAAAAAAAGTATAAGATGTGTATAGTTTTTTAAGTAACTTTTTATTCTACCAATAATGTTTTACCTATTTAATATGAAATTAGCTCTCACCAGTTAGCAAACAATTGTTCACTGCAGATGCATAAGCTTTTTCCATTTTATAAATAATTGTTCACAGCATTGCCATTGGTTTAAAAAGAAAAATTGATTAGAATATAGTATTAATGTGATAAGGATGCTTGTCCCAAATGCTTGTCAGAAAAATCTTATTTTACCTCTAAGTAGAAGAATCCTAAATTTCCTGTCCTTGGCCAATCAATATAAGGTTCACAATAAACACAATAATTGTCACAAGTAAGAACAGAGCAAACAAACAAAACAAAAAAGAAATTTAAAAGATTAAAAATTAAAAAAAAAAACCCTCAGGCCAATCCCAAGCCTACAAAACACCAAAATCTTGTGGTTAACTTTGAATTTCAAAACACTTATTTCTGCGTTTGGAAGATACAGTATAATCAAATGCAGGTAGATGCATATTTCTCACATAATCAGATACCAGCGGGTAATCAAAAGGGCAGACTCTGAAAATATAAAGTTGTGAGAGAGAAGAAAAGGAACTTAGGAAAAAAAATCAAAGAGGGAGAAGAAAAGCCCTACAAAATCTCAGTAAGGAAAACTATAACCTACATTGTCAATGTTAGGCCATGTACAATGGTGACAGTGTTAAAGAAAGAGGGGAAGTATACCTGTACATAACAACATCTTATAAATTAATGCCAAAATGAAAAGTTAAGAAGATGTCACTATGGAATTTTTGCCAAACATCAAAAGGCAAAGGTGGTAGTATTGGTTTCCCAAGTCTTTCATAATGCATATGGCACCACTGTGAAAAGGCCTCCCTAACATATACCAGTGTCACTACATTTGAGCTCAGTAGGGGGGTAACCCTTGCATATCCTTTATTTTTTTTTCAAATAACTCTTTATTGTTTAAAGTATTACATATGCCCCCCTCTTACCCCCCATTAATCCCTCCCCAACCTTCCTCTGCCCCCTCCCCCAGCCCACCCTCACCCTCACATGCCCTTTAAATTATTCCTGGAGAAATGACACCAACCAAACAATTCAAATCTGTAGGAAAGGGGAGTCTGCAAATATGAACCGGTCATTTAAGTTTGTGAATTCACTGCAAAGATACTGTGGTAAATAGAATCTATTTGCCTCCTCCTCATCTTCCTACCCTCCGAAAACTCCAGTAAGGCATCAAGCTCTAAAATGTCAATTCTTCTTGAAATCGACCAGGATGCCCCCAATACCCTCACCACCTCCTCACCACTTTTTTCCTCTCTCCTCAATACAACACACCCAACAACACCACCACACGGTCCACACCCACACCCCAGACAACCCTCTCCTCGTGGAACAACCCAAACTCCTAACCCAAAACACCCCACACTTAAATCCCCACACTCCACACTCCCCCCAATGCTACCCATTCTCCATAAAATACAGGAAACCCTGCGCAGTCCGCCTACAAAACCCAGCTACCCTAAGCACCTTTCCCCCTACCAATCCCATTCAAGCCAGCTGCCCACAACGCATCTTACACACAGCCCACATAGCCTTTGAGTCACACATGCCCCCATGGCTCACCACACTCACACACCCACACCCCCGCAGTGCTCACACACACAGTAGGAAGAGGCCACCCTCTGGGCACCGGGAACACCACGAGACTGGAGGCGGCAGGGGGCCTGGGCCGGATACTCCACCTGAAAATCCGCCAGGATCATCTCCCGGTCCATGTTGGACGCCATGGCGGCCGCCGAGTTCCGCGGCTGCTCCGGGGGCGAGGCGCGCACCTGGGAAGAAGACGGCGCCTCCTGCGGCCGTCGCCGCCGCCGCCGCCACCGCCGGGCGCCGAGGGGCGGGCGGACGAGCCGGCGGGCGGGCCGGCGGGCCGGCGGGCGGGGCAGCGCGGGAGGCTAGGCGCTCATGCACCCGGTAACCTTCAGGAGCCCGGGCCGCCCGCCTCCTTCGCCCCGCGGAGCCCGCGCCGCAGACGCCCGGACGGACAGGGAGGAGGCTCGCCGGGATGCGGGTCGGGTCTTACGGGGCCCGGCCAGGATGGGGGTCAGATTGCGACAGCGCGCACCCGGCTCCCTTCAGTGGCGGGGAGACCGGCGGGGTGAGGGGGGGCGGGGAAACCGAGCGAAGAAGCAGGCGGGCGAACACCACGGCCAAGGCCGCCTCCGCCTCCGCCTCCCTCCGCCTCCGCCACTTCCGCCCCGGCCGCCGCCGCAGCCCCTGGTTGGCCAGCGCCGCGGCTGTCGCACATTTTGCCTGTCATCGAGGTCGCAAAGCGCCGCTTTACGGCTGCCACGTGACTGTCCTGTCAAGCACTGGAAGCGCCACTACCGGGCGAGGATCGCCTCGGGGCCGGCGGGGACGCCGGCCTACAATTGCGGGGATCCCGCAACTGGTTATTCCGGCTTGGAATGAAGCAAAGGCTTCGCGATACCTCCTCCCCCCTGGCTGGGGCGGGACTCCGATCCTGTGCTTTATGTGGTTAGAGAGTCGCACACAGAGGCATCAAGCCTCATAAACCTACTCGGCGCATTCTGACAACCCGTCTGACAATCTGCATTTATATATATATATATATATATATATATATATATATATATATATATATATATATATATATATATATATATATATATATATACTTTTTATTGATTTTCTTTACAGAGAGGAAGGGAGAGAGATAGAGAGATAGAAACATCGATGAGAGAGAGTCATTGATCACACCCCCCACTGGGAATATGCCTGAAATCAATGTACATGCTCTTGACCCGGAATCGAACCCAGGACCCTTCAGTCCTCAGGCTGACGCTCTTTCCACTGAGCCAAACCGGTTTCGGCACAATCTGCATTTCTTAGATGTATTTTCTCTAACAGGGCTTCACCAAAATACAACTTCATGTAGTCTATTACGCTCAACCTCGCTATCAAAATCAGTTTGCACACTGTCACACTTAATCCCAATTCCCCTGGCGCCTGCATCCCGAACAAATAGGCTTTGAGTCAAGAATAGCCAAAGATTATGTACAGTGAAGTGTGACCATTTGTAATGTTTGGAGGAAGGGTGACTAGAATATGTCCAACTTTGACTTGGGAAAATATCATCTTCTGAACCATAATAGAGCATTTACTTGCCTTGAAAAGTATGTAAAATCCTGGAAGTGTGAAGTAAGATTGCTGATTTTGTGCTGTAGAGTTTTAAACACTAGTGAAATCACCATATAAAGTCAAGGCCTGGGTCTTTGTATTCCTTGAAGCATAAAGAAGAGCACCACCAGAGTGTTTTAAAGACCTAGGTTTAATCTCTGTGTTCATTAGGTGAAAAGAGCTTGGCCTATAAGTCTATGTGATAATCTATATTTAGACCAGAATTAATTAGATAAAGGATAGAACCCTTCAGTCACATGAATTGATGTGTTTGTCTAATTGCCATCCCTAAAGAAGTAATTTCAAAATATAGCTAAAATGTGAATGATGAGGCGAAACAGTATCACAGCTTAAGTGTGGCAATTCATTTGTCCCATTCATATGTCACTCTCAGCACAAGGCAGGTCAATAATTGTCTCTAATTACAGGGTTAGGATTAATGCAGCCCTGGAAAGTTGAAATTTTTCTCTGTGATCACAGAGGAGGGGAAAGCCCATTCAAATCCAGTTTTGTGTCCCTTCTCCATCCTCTCCATCTGGAAATTAAACAATGTAATGGGAAGAATAACCTAGACATTCAGGCATATGGGTCCTAGTACCACTTTCCCAACTAATTAGCTAGGGAAACTTGGATGGGTCTCTTGGTCTCTTTGACTTCAGTCTCTGATATGACTTCAATTTCAGGTGATGAAGAAACAATTATGAAAATGCATGGCAAACATAAAATATTTTTACAAAACGAGCATGTACTTCAGACAGCAATTACTAAGCTAGAATTCTAACTCTTCCCCTTACAAAAAATTTCTGAGTCTCAATTTTTTTCTTTGGAGTGGGATTTATAAAACTTACCTCATAGAGTAATTGTGAATATTTAGTAATATAATGCTTGTGAAAACTCTTCAGAAACTTTAAATATTAGTTGCTATTACTTTGTATACCAATTCCGAAATGCTTCCCTCAGGATCACCTCTTTCATAAAACTTAGGCCAACAGGATTCATCTCATTTATAATCACTGCTTTTACTATCTTTACAACACAATTTAATGCTTTGATAAAATCTGTAATTTCTTCCCTAATTGTTTCACAGATGCTTGTTTTTTTTTTAATATATTTTATTGATTTTTCACAGAGAGGAAGAGAGAGGGATAGAGAGTCAGGAAGATCGATGAAAGCTGCCTCCTGCACACCCCCATTGGGGATGTGCCTGCAACCAAGGGCAACATGCCCTTGACCGGAATCGAACCGGGGACCTTTCAGTCCGCAGGCCTTCGCTCTATCTACTGAGCCAAACTGGTTTCGGCAAACCTATGCATGTTTTAATCTCTCCCCAGAGGTTGAAAATTTCTTGATGTATTATAGAACTATATGCCTGAAACCTATATAAAATTAACAAATGTCACTCCAATAAATTAAAGTTATTTAAGATTTAAGCCATTTCATCTTGTATATTTTTATATTCATCATAGTTCACGCATAGCAAAGTTGTGAGTACATAATAACTAATTTTTTAAAATATATTTTATTGATTTGTTTACAGAGAGGAAGGGAGATAGTTAGAAACATCAATTACAGAGAAACATTGATGAGCTGCCTCCTGCACACCCCCTACTGGGGATGTGGCCGCAACCAAGGTACCTGCCCTTGACCAGAATCAAACCTGGGACCTTTCAGTCCAAAGGCCAATGTTCTATCCACTGAGCCAAACCGGTTTCGGCAGCAACTAATATTTTTTAATTAATTTTTATTGGATGTCTAGAATGTACAGGCACTTTACACACCTATCTCACTTAATTCTTCCAACCACCATTTTACAGAATAAAAAACTGCTCTGAGCATTTAAGAATTTTCCCAAAGTCATGCTACAAAGTGACAGACTTAATATTCAAGACTAGGTCAAAACTAGCACTTTTTCCATTTACCATGTTGCCTCCCTCCTGGCTGCAAAGTTTGTACAGTTCCTAATTAAGCTGATTCTTCCTATGATCTAACTCTTCATGGTTGGATAGCCAATATCCACAATTATTGTCCACCACAGGAAAAAGAAAGAAAAATAAATACTGACTTAAGGAGGGGGGAAAAAAATCACTTTTCATTTCTCCAGAATTCCTTCCTGAAAAGAAACAATTTCACTTTAGTGTTACAAACTGAGAGAATAAAAATATACAGAGATCCTCTATACAGAAAAATGAACAAAACATTTTAAATATATATTTTTATTGATTTCAGAGAAGAAGTGAGGGAGAGATAGAAACATCAATGATGAGCTGAAGTCGGTTTGGCTCAGTGGTAGAGCATCGGTCTGCGGACTGTAAGGTCCCAGGTTTGATTCCAGGCAAGGGCATGTACATTGGTTGCGGGCACATCCCCGGTAGGAGGTGTGCAAGAGGCAGCTGGTCAATGTTTCTCTCTCATTGATGTTTCTAGCTCTCTATCTCTCTCCCTTCCTCTCTGTAAAAAATCAATAAAATATATTTTTTTTAAAGGGAAAAAAAAACATCAATGATGAGAGAGAATCATCGATCAGCTGCCTCCTACACGCCCCCTACTGGGGATTGAGCCTGCAACTCAGGCATGCGCCCTTGGCAGGAATCGAACCCCGAACTCTTGAGTCAGCAGGGGACACTCCATCCACTGAGCCAAATCTATCCATTCTCATAGTGGGTCTACTGCATTAACTCAGGGAATCCAGCCTAATTCAAATACTGTATAGGTCTTGTTTTAGAAGTTCCATGCTCTTTTATTTTACTACTTTTTAAAAAGGAACTTGTATTTTATCTTTCCTCAAATATATAATACAGTTTATTTGTAGTCATTAGGCTAAATTTTTATTTGAAATAATCTTCTACATTTATAGAATAGTTGCAAAGATTGTACAAAATGTTCCTATTTATCTTTCATCCAGCTTCCTATTATCTTACAGAACCACAATAAACCATCAAACTAAGAAATTAACATTGGTACAACACTATTATATTCTAGAAACCCTATTTGGATTTTTATTTATGTTCTTTTTCTGTTTAGGTCTAATCCAGAACACCGTACATTATATTGAGTCATGTTTCATTAGCCTCTTCCAATTTATGATATTTTCTCAATCTTCAATCTTAAAGAGTAATGGTTAGAACTTTATAGAATGTCCCTCAGTTTGGGTTTGTATGATGTTTTCTTTGAATTATACTGAGTTTATGGATTTGGGGATTAATACCACAAAGTATGTATCCTCATCACATGATATCAACATGACTTATTACTGGTGGAGTTAACCTTGCTCCTTTGGTTAAGTTAATCAAGCTTTGTAACAATACTATTAGATGATAATATAATTTTTGAGAAGGTTGATACTGTTACAGTGTTAGAACCACACTCAATCCAGCTCTACTATATGCATCTTAAACTGTCTTAAATTTTATTTACTGTTATTCAACAAAAGTAATAAAAAGTATATTTCATTGGTGCCTAATACTGGACTCTTAAGTAATGAAAGAGTCCAGGATTTGGGGCATCAAGATCTATATCAAATTCTATATCAACAATTTACTGGTTTTAAGTCACAATCTCTATAAAAGCTCAATTCCTTCACTTGAAAAATGAGGGTAATTATTTTATCTCAGATTTGTTATAAAGATTAATTAAAGTGTGCATCAATTTTATAACCATGAAACACTATACAAATATTAATTATTGTTATTATGTTTAAATAATAGCAAAATATTTTCAGTGTCTCTGAGTTGCTATTGGGCAATTTTTTATTAATGTATTTATTTACTTATTTATTTGTTTATTTATTTATTTTACAAAAAACTTCTGCCCTGGCCTTGTAGCTCAGTTGATTAGGTTTCAGGTATGATCCCCAGTCAGGGCACATACAAGAAGCAATCAATAAATGGGTAACTAAGTGGAACAACTAATCTCCTTTCCTCTCTCTCTAAAATGAAGAAGTTAAAAAAAAATTGTAAAAACATTCATAACTAATGTAAGTACCCACATAAAAAAGCCTGCTAAATCTGAGATAAAATGTCAAAGCCACAATTATGAAATGACTAAAAGGTCCTCTGAGGGTACTAATCTGTTTTCTATCTCTGTTTGGGTCTATAAATACAAGAGGAAGATTTTGAAACTAAGTAAAGAAATTACAAATACACATACATATTTCCATAAGTTAGTCATTTAGAAACTGCACACTTGTCAGAGGGAAAGTCACAATATAATGTGATTACATTGTGACACTAAGTATTTTACATCCAACTATAAGCTTCTATTTTTACTGTTTGAGAGATATTTTATTACTAAGTTAAAAGAGAAACACTACTTGCAATATAAGATACTTAATTGCGAATCTTTCGTGTACACCATGTTAGAATGTAAGCTTATTGAGGGTAGAGATATTCACTTTTAAATCTACTTCAGTGAACTGACAAGAAATATTAGATTTTCATTAGAGGTACTTTGTAATGCTTAAGTATATTCTCTAAACTAAGACTAAAAACCTCTGGGCTGCCACTTCAGGTTTACACAATAAGCACACTACACATATACTTCAGATTATCAGCAATGCCAGAGTAAAAAAGACAAAAATACTTTCTTAAAGGATTCAATCTTTCAGCAAAAGCATGACAGTAGTCATCAAGGGGAAAAGCAGAACGTTGTTGGACTTCTTTACACTTATTTTTTGTATTATTTTAATTTTATTTGCATAGGAGATGAAGTGATGAGCCATCAAAATCTTGACAGTGCTTAGTCCCCCAAAAAATCTTAATCCAGCTCTACTATATGCATCTGAAACTATCTTAAACTTTATTTACTGTTACTCAGCAAAAGTATTTCATGAAAATTATAATAGTGTATCTAAGTTATGAGTTACATAGTAGTTTAATGTTCTTCCTCATTACAGTATTTCTCTTAGCAAGAACCCATAATGCTAGAAAGCAATTCTCATAAATTGGGTTAATGCCAGTTTTCTCTTATCAGCCAACAGCACTACTATATTATCACACCCTCCAGCTGTACTAACATATTACACAGTAAGTTTTGAGAATAACCAAATCTAAATTGTATTATTTGTGGTATTTACTGGTTAAAAATGGAATAATAAATGTTCTATTTGAAGTGTCTAAATACGTGCAAGAAAGGAGTTAATGTCTTGTGGTGCAGTACATGCTTGATTCACATTTGAAGTTGAGTTACCTGAGAAAAGAGCTCTGGTTATTTTTTTCTCTCAACAGTTCAGTTAAAGAAAATACTGCCAGATTCTTCCCAGTTTACAGGACATCCCCCTCCCCTCCTGCCTTCCCTCCTCCCCCACCTATCAGCCAGTCTGTTCCTAGATAATTATCCAGATGTTTCTGGGATGTTTTTGTTGCTAATATTCCCAGTATACCTCAAGGAGCTGGGTACAGATGTTACTTGAAGATATACTTGCCAGAGGCTGGTACTAATTACACCACTTGCCATTTTTTTGCTTGGTTTCATTTTTGACCGCTGGGTGCATCACGTAACCGTGTTGATATTTTTAAGAACAAAAAAAAAAATATATAGAAAGCTGTAGTTAATTAACCTTACGTGGCTAAAAGAGGAAGTTTAAAAGTACAGAGAGAACTGGTGTACTCTGGTGTTTGAAATAATTTACATTCAAACTCTCCTTCCCCTCCCCCCAGAAAACAAGCCCCATCTATGTAGTCAAAGTGAGAACTCTGGCAATAACAATAATAACAATAATAATAATAATAATAATAATATGGCCTTGTTAGGAAACCCTCCCCAGGATTTAAGTTCCCTTTAGAGTTAACTGCTTTTCTCCCTTGCCCTGGAGAAATGGAATACTTCCGTTTCCAGTCCCTGGAACATCAGGGTTTCAGAGTCCGTCCTGATTTCCTACCTATATGCCATGTCTTTAGTATTCTTTAAAACCTCACTTTATTGAAGGCTTTCGCTTTTGCTGAGCTCGGCCGTGGCTGTCAGCCGGGCCTCCCCCTCCACCCCGCGGCCACCTCTGCCCCCCGCGGAGTCCCGGGGTGACCCGGCAGGTGCGAGGCCCGGGCGGCGGCGAGGAGGCCGGGCTTGCAGGTCGCGAGCCCCGAGGAGGAGGCGGCGGCCGGCGCAGGCCTCGCGCGGCCGGAACTCCGGGAGCCCAGCCGGGCGGCGCGGAGGGCGCCGGGCCCTCGGCCTGCAGCCGCCAGCGGCGCCCGGCCTCCGGGCCCGGCCTCCGGGCCTGCGGCGCTCCGCAGCCGGATTCATCGTCATCCGCCAGCCGCGTCCCCTCTCGGCCGCCCCGCCGGGCTCGCCGCGGCCCGGGGTTCCGGATCGCCGGCCCGATCCCGCCGGCTGGCGGGCAGGAGGAGGCCGAGGGGCCGGCGGCGGGAGCCGGAGCCGCAGACCGCGGCGGGGAGCCGGGGCCGGGGGCGCGGAGGCGGGAGGAGGGCGCCGGGGGCGGGGCGCGGGGCGGCGGGCGGGCGCCGCCGGGCGGGGGGCGGGCCGGGGGCGGGGCCCGGCCTTCCCGCTCCCGCGGCGCGGCAACTCGGCGGAGCCTCCTTAAAACTCTGCCGTTAAAATGGGGGCGGGTTTTTCAACTCAAAAAGCGCTCAATTTTTTTCTTTTCAAAAAAAGCTGATGAGGTCGGAAAAAAAAAAAAGGGGGAAAGAAACCGGCACGGTCTCTGCAGCGGCCACAGAAGTAGCGATTGTTGGAGCGGAGCAGAGAAGCAGAGAAGGGAGGGGAGGAGGAGAATAGAAAGTGTCTGCAGGGGAGAAGGGAGCCGGGACCGGCGATTCTGGGGGAGACTGAGCCACAAAAGAAACTGTCACCCGGAGCGCTGCGGCTCGGGAGGAAGCCTTGCTGCCCGGTCCGGCTGCGGGCACAGCTGCCCCGCGGGCGGCACCGGCTCGGGGCGCAGAGGTCGGGGGACCGCGAGAGGCTCGCCAAGTGGCACCACCGGTGGCCGAACCGGCTGGGCGCTCCTGGGCGACGACAGGGCGGCGGGACCGGCTGCGCCCTGGGACTCCCCATCCTGGGAGACCGGCTCCGGCTTCCCAGGACCCCGCCGATCTCCGGAGGCGCCCCCCCCGAAGACCAGGAGAGGACGGAAGAGACGGCGGCAGCCGCTCCGGGAGCGTCTCCAGTAGGAGGTCTGGACCGGCTCGGTCCTAGGCGGGAAGCTACGGGCGAGCTGCCCCGTGCAGCCGCGATGCTGCAGCGCGCTGCCCCCGCCGCCCGGGCCCCGTAGACGCCGCTGCCCGCACCGCTCTCCCTCCCGTCCCCGCACCCGGTGGGGCCGGCATGACCCGCCTGGCCCAGGCCCGCCGCGCGCCCGGCGGGCTCCGAAGACGCGCGCCGAGCCGGGCTCCCACGGCCTCGGAGGCTCGGCGGGGCTGCGGCGGCCCGGCGGGCGGGCTCCGGAGCCTCCCCGCTCGGCGTTAGCCCGCGTCCCCGGCCCCCGGACGCGGATCAAGGCCCTTCCCCGGGGAAGCCGAGGCCACGGAGGAGTCGTGACGGACCTGGAACTCGAGGGCTACGGAACTACCACTCCCGTTTGCCTTTTGGCGATCGTCGTTAACCCCCTGGAGGACGTCAGCATCCAGCTGCAGCGGCGTCTCCCCCTGCAGAGCGGAGCCCTCGGCACGGACTACCCCTGCGGGCGTGACGGATGGAGACCGAGCCTCCCCGAGGACCTGCCCCTGCAGTTCTGGCCGCCGCGGCTCCAGTCGCCACCACCGCGAGCAAGGGTGGGTTCGTGTCTTTTCTCCCCCTTCCTCCCCCCGCAAAGGTCTTTTTCTTCCGCTGTGTTTCTCTCTCCCTGGTCTAGTTCCTTAACCCTCCGCACGCATTCCTCGCGGGGATCTCTAGTGCTGTGACAGCTCTGCCTGCATTTTACATCCAGAGTAATTTGCCAGGAATGTGTCTGTCTCGCCCCCTCTTTCTCTCTCCCCCTGTTGAATCACCAGAATTCTTCCTAGGGGTTAAAGCTAAAAAAGAGAGGAGCGAGCCCCTCTCCAATGGCTCAGTTTTGCTGAATAATCACGTGTGAACCGAGGGGCGGGCTTTTGGCAGGCAGATCTTACTAGTATTTACTACCAAGCTCTACTCCAGATTAAACATCCCAGTCCTTCTGTCAGCCTCCGATGCCATCATGCAGCCTGGTTAGGAAGGAGCAAAGGAAAGGGGGGAAGGGGGGAGAAGGAAAAAAAAAAAAGAAAGAAAAAACAACTAATTCATCTTTTCCCGATCGATCGTCAGGACCCTAAAGGATGGCCGAGCCTTGGGGGAACGAGTTGGCGTCCGCAGCTGCCAGGGGGGACCTAGAGCAACTTACTAGTTTGTTGCAAAATAATGTAAACGTCAATGCACAAAATGGATTTGGAAGGACTGCGCTGCAGGTGGGTATCCAGAGAGGTGGGGGATGGGGGGAGATGGAAACAGGTCAACAGCGTTGCCTACGTGACCCGGGTGTCTAGAATAGCAGCTCTTAAGCTTTGAGGGGCACAAAATTTCACCGTGCTTAAGCCTAGCTGGTTGCCATATTTTATATCTCTAAGTGGATCCAACTCCCCAAAAATGACGTACTTTGAACAAACTCGTTAAACCCAATAACATCCGTGATATCAAGTAGGTTCCAGGTTTGGTCTTAATTTTCAGATTGTTTTTATGACGGTGGGTATCTGAGAGGCATCGTAGCAGCGCCGAGTTGGGGGAGGGGGGAGGTAGACAGCTCTGTAAACACTTTATTATGATTATTATTTGAAGCAAATACGCTGCTATTAGTGGTTTTCATACTTTGCTCCTATAATTGACTTCGACGTTAATTTTCTTGACTACTGGCAGGGGTGTTTTCCTTCAAACGCTTCACGTTTTGACAAACAACCTTTCCTCATTTGGAATTGGGTGGACTGGGCACGGGGACAGGATGTACATTTCACAGTTAATGTAATACCATCCACTATTCAGGATTGAGGAGGAATAAAAAATTGAATTTTCTCATCAGAGTTCAGCTCGTGTTTTTGTCTCTGCGGTCATGCCGTGGTATGTTCTAATTTTTAGCTATTAGATTTACAAGCAACAAATGAAACAAGTCCAGCTGCCAAGTATTGTACCTGATAATTTTTTTCCTCCTCTGAACATTATCCTGTAACTTAGCTAAAAGGCTTAAGACATTTTTAAAAAATGGAAAATTGGTCTCAAATAGTTGCTTTATCCGAGTTCTAATGATATTCTTATGAGCTAGTCTTATTCGGAAATGCCACGCTTGAAACTGAAAATTGGAGAGAGGGTTTTTAAGGTGCTTTATTTTAATTACAAGAATTAGAAAATTTAAGTAAAAGGAGATAAACAGTCTTACATTTTAAATCAGAATACACTGATCTTGCAAAATGTTCAGTATTTATGGAAGTTTATGTATATATATTAAATAATTTATCTTGTTATTTCAGGTAGATTAAGTGGGGAAAGAATTTTTTTTCTTTTTCTATTTAGTAGTTTTAACAGGTGTGGTGGTAGCAATGCTACAAATTTAATATATTTAAAGGTTCCCTAATGAAAACTAAAAGATTTTCTAAATCTCACAATGAGCCACTTAACCCATGTTAAGTATAAGATCTTGCAGGACTTTTGATGAACAGAAAGACTGGGAAATTAATACTGAAAACAAGTTTTGACAAACATTTTAAATAAAATCTGCAATCCTGTTTATATTAAACATACTTATCAAGATACTAACACCCACTTATTGTGAATTAGTCCTTGTGCATATAATAAAACCCACGTAAATAGGAGTCTCAAGGCTTATTTTCAGTACGTGTAATCCTGACTCTGAAGTTGTATCCTAAGTCAAGAAAGAACTTCCTTTTAAAACAATTTCCAATATTACTATTATTTTCTATTATTATTACTATTATTTTCTATTATTATTACTTTACTCAATTGTAAAAAGGTTGTGTTTTTTTTTTTCCTTTGCTAGTGTAAGCTTTTCAATCAGGATAATATCAAAGGCCTTAATCATACATTTGCTTTACAGAGATCCAAGTTGTCTATTTCTTATTTTCCTAGTGCAGGTTCTTAAATGTGACTAAATCTTTAGAGGCAGTTGTGGCAAAAATTAGATTGTATTGATTTTTAATAACCAAAAAGTATACTTCATTGAAGTTCTTGAAAAACAAATTATTTCTCATTCTTACCACTGCCCCAAAGGCAGGGCTAAAAGACAGGAAGGTTTTATCGACAGGGAGGCTAAGTATCTTGGACATCTATGTAGTTTGCATTTATAAAATATTACTTACTCTAAATATATTTTATTATATTAATTTGTGATTATTTTAAAAAGTAAACATTCGAAAGGGATAAACTTCGTATTTTCCAATGGATTATATTTCACAAATATTTGAGTGTCTATTATACAATCTATTTATTATAAATTTATATTATTATGAAGTATACCTAAATATAAATGAAATCAGTTAACATGCTGAAATTTTTGGCATGTTAATAAGACTATATTTTTTTCACAACTAAATTATATGTATTGTATAAATAACTGCGTGCTGCTCCGCAAGATATTTTATAATTATGAGAGCCTAATAGACATCTCTTATTAGAGTGAAATATGTACATCCAAACAAAAATAGATAAGTCTTTGTCATGTAAATTATTTGCATGTTGACAGCAAATTTTAATACTACATTCTGGCTTTTAAAGTGTTGGCAGTTTACAAATAGCTATTCCTAAATTCCTGACAATAACTGCAAAAGGAAATAAGGTGGCTCACCAGTTGATTATTAAATGGGCTCAACCACACACAACACTGTCTGTGTCCCAAATACATATTAAATATCTTCTTTCTTTTGCTCACTTAAAATCAGAAGGCTAATTAGAACTTTTAAAAAATAAGTAATATAGTAGGATTAGACTTTTACATTCTTTTCAAGAGCAGTTTCCATATACTAATCTCCTATCTAATACACAGCATATCTTCAATTTAGTTTTAGATAAGTCAATATCATAAACATGGAGAACGCTGTTATTTACTTAACGCCTAGTAATCAGTAACATGTAAAAATTTCAAGTGAATGATTATAAGTACTAAATATACCTCACACCTGGTAGCCAATATGTAATAACTTGCAAAGAAAATTTTTAAAAAATATTTTTTAAACACTTGGAAATTTGGCACTATATCTATTGGGGGAGACCTTGTAAAAATTAATCATTTAAGAAAATGTCAGATTTGAATTTTTAATAGATCATTTTTACACAAGATGGAGACTGATATGTAGAAACACTTCTTTGGGGATTTAAAGAAACTCACTCACCTTATTTCTTTTTAGTAGCTATTTAGAAAATAAATGTTGCCCACATTTGATTTTCCAGAATAAATACTCTAGGTGTATTTTATGAGTATGAACAAGCACAGAAGAAGACTCTTATTTAAATCTCAATTTCCATTTCTTTTAATAAATTCACGAAGTTACACACCCCTTCATGGGAGATAGAGAACTGGGTTGTGAGTAAATTTTATACAATTTGGACTAGTTCTATTTTACTGATCAATTTATCCTATTTTGGGGCCCGTTTAAGATATTCCATCATATACGCTCAATTTTATAAGTTTTCTTCTAGTTGTACCTACTAGTACTTTCCTTCTCTCAAATGAGTCCTCCATCATATGAGTCTTCCCCAAGTACTTCTTCACTAAAGACAGTCACATAAATAGGAGAGGTGGATATTTTAAAATATCCTTGTCGTATGAGCACTTAAAGGATTCTACTCTTTTTTCTTCTTTTCTAGGTTATGAAACTTGGAAATCCTGAGATTGCCAGGAGACTACTGCTTAGAGGTGCTAATCCCAATTTGAAAGATGGAACTGGTTTCGCTGTCATTCACGATGCAGCCAGAGCGGGTTTCCTGGACACTTTACAGACTTTGCTGGAGTTTCAAGCTGACGTTAACATCGAGGATAATGAAGGGAACCTGCCCTTGCACTTGGCTGCCAAAGAAGGCCATCTCCCTGTGGTGGAGTTCCTCGTGAAGCACACTGCCAGCCGCGTAGGGCATCGGAATCACAACGGGGACACCGCCTGCGACTTGGCCAGGCTCTACCGGAGGAACGAGGTCGTTAGCCTGATGGAGGGAACCGGGGCGGAGGGAGCTGAGAATCTACAGTGAATGCGGGGAGAGCTCTCCCACACTGCCTTCTATTCTGTCAGTTAAATGGTTGGCTATTTTAATATCATCTGTTAAAACTCAGTTTTGTCATATTTTAAGCAGCTTGTTAAATCTTCTGAAACTGCTAAATGGACATCTTACTACAGGTTTATGCATCTATCTTTTTCACCTACAGAACCCTGATTTCTAACATATAATTGCAAATAGCTTTGGCTTTCTTCTTATTATTTTATCTTCCCTTTACTTTTTCTTGGCTTCTTTCTCCCTTTGCCAATCTCAATACCCAACTTGATGACTTTGTTTTAAAAATGATGCTTCTTTTGCCTAATTAAAACACTTTTTCAAAACAGGACAATGTTTTTCTGTGACGTCTACTCTATAAGTCCCATATAATTTGCCACTTGCTAGGAGATCAAGTTTTACATTTTGACATTAGAAAACGTAGACCAACTGGGAAACTAGGCATATTCCCTTGAGGATTCAGTTATTCTTATCTTCCTTTCCTGATGTCTCTCCCAAAGGAGTTTACTTGGCGCCTTGTATGACTGCTTTAAAGTAGGATAAGAACAACTTTTTTGAACATCAAACCTGAAATTATTTCAGTGTGAATTTATGCTATTGTTCAGTCTTCCCTTTTTCTCAAACTTAAGTTGAATAGTTGGAAAAACAGTATTCAGAATAGCAATCTAATAACAATTACATGTTAATTCTAAAAGCCACTTTTAAAAAGAAAGTACCACCTTAAAAGTGCCTTTCATTAGTTGATTTTTAAAAAAATCTCAAATAAAATAATTGGTTAATAAATTTCCCTAAAATAATACCATAAGTATACTAAGTGCAACACTGTCTTTTTCTCCCTGAATGACAGAAATGTAAAATTATAAAATGTTAAAGTATTAAAAACACTGTAAATAATAAATTTGGGGGATAAAATGCTCAGCAAGAAAAATATATAAATTACATAAGGGTCATAAGTATTTTAGGGGCTGCAGTATAATAAATATATAAACATTTACAATAAGTACATAGGTCACTCTTACATTTAGTATGATTCCCACAAAACGTATTAGTGAAGGCATATAAAATATTTTAAAGAATATAGTTAGCTAAAACTAATTTTTGGATGAAATATAAATATCAAATTTCTGAATTTTCCAGTATCTATTAGTCTGTCATTTCAATTAAAGATTGTAACCAAAAGATTTCAATGCAGTTATCATTTATAAATTTATAAATACTTTATTCATATTCTCCCATATGAACATAGATATTTTATGTGAAAGTTCCCTCTTTCTGCTTCATAAGCTCCCTGCCCTTGCCCCAAAAATAAAAACTACTTCAAGGTTTATTGAAGGATATGGTTCTGATGCCAGCCCTAACAAGGACTGGAATGATTGCAGGCAAGTGGTTTTCAATAATGGTGTTTTCCATGATAATATAAAAAGAGTATAGGATAAAAAGTTTAATCCTTTTAATTTGGCATTAAAGTTCACCTTCCCTAAGTTAAGTGCAACAGGATTTCAACTTCTGCCCCCTCCGACCACAAGTTACTAAATACACTTATTTTTGACAGCAACATAAAATTAAATTTAAAACACATTTGAAAATTTAGAAAAAGTAGTTGAGATGGTTTTAAAGGAAAAGGTGTTGTATTTGGATGTTAAAACTGGAAACAATGTATAACACACATTGCTTGAGTAAAGATGAATATTTTTCTAAATACAAGATTACTAAAAACAAAATAACCCTTCTTAGAAGTTTTAACTGTAAAGATGAATGTTTCTGAGTTTAAAGTCAAGTTTAATGGCCTTTTCCGTATCCACCAGGTCTCAGTATTAAAATTGCTCTTTGGAGACCAAATATAAAATTATAGGACTCCAAAAGCTAAAGAGCAGGGGAAGCTTCTACCATGGCTTTGTTCAGAGGAGGTAGGAACAGATAAGGGGACAAGGAGCTCATCTCCTTTCAGCCTGAAATTTGCTAGTCATTAAACATCACCACATTTCTCTGGCAGGAAATAGCTTTGCTAATCTAAGTATTTTAGAAATGAGTTATGTGGTCCCTCTAGGAAATATGAAAAATCATTATTCATCTCTCAAAAACCTCAATAATATTCAGTAAGGTTCTTGAACACGCCGACATGTGTTGGATAAAAGAAGGCTGTTGCTGAGTTTAATAGCGTCTAAACTTTGCAGTGAGCTGAGATGGGGAAGGGTCTGATACAAATGCTAATTAACGGAGTGACCAGGGCCCCTGGGGAGAACCCTATGGAAAGGATGGAGGGTGCTAAACAGCTATGCTCTCTTAAATTCAGCTCTCCACTGTGTCGCGACCCAAGTTATCATGGGGGGAACTCGGGCTCAACCTTTGCCCGGTATAAACTCAATCCGGATTTATACCTTGAGGAAGGGGGAACTAACTGGACCTCAGTCCACGTTCTGTTTCCTGATACATTAAGCCAATTGCATTTTGACATATTTCAATAATGAATCAATACTTTTCTGGTAAACAATTCGCATCTCTTAACGGTGTGAGATGAGCTCTCTCTCTCTCTCTTTCTCTCTCTCTCTCTCTCTCACACACACACACACACACACACACACACACACACACACACACACTCAATGCTGGGTGATTGATAAAATAAAAAAATCAGTCAGGCAAGCAATACAATTGGTGGGATTATACATTTCCCTTTATCTGGGATCTGTGGCTCCGGACTGGTTTTGAAATCTCAGTTCCCAAAAAGGTGCTTTCTTTAGGCTTTTGCCTGAAGTAGAAGCAATAGCCCAGAAGCGCTGCACGATCACAGCACTGGAGCGAGAAAGGGTTGTATTTACAGCTTTCCTGGCTGCCCTAAGTCCTAAGTGACCTTCATCAAATGCCTACGGGAGGGCGGACAGAGAGGGTGGGGTGGGAGGGGGAGTCCCTCTCTTGTTCTCTAGAGACTTTTGATTTTACATTGCAGTTCGAACACACACACACACACACACACACACACACACACACACACGCAAACAGGTCCACGCAGGGACCTAGAGTGAGGCAGGAGACCAATATTCTGCCCATAGCCAACCCAAGCCCTCTTTGAGGGGCTGTGAAGACATCCTTTCTATCCCTTCCAAACTGTCCAGCCTCCCGCGGCCGCTCCGGGCTCTCCGGGGAGGAAGCGGGAGCCCAGAGCTCCCTCCGGGCGGGCGGGCGGGCGCGCAGAAAAGCCCGGGGTGGGGGTGGGGGAGTTTCAAAACCGTTAGCTCGCGTTTTTTTTTTTTTTTCTTCTTTCTCCTCCCTCGCTAAGGTTTCTTTTCTTTTCTCTTCCTGTCCAAATATTTCAAATTTCCGCGCCTTAAATAACAGTCTCTTTTTATTTAGTTGGTTTCCTCGGCAGGTTTGTCCTCCCGCTCGCCTCTGCCCTCCGGCGCTCCCCCGGGCGCCTCCGCCTCGGGCGCCGCAGCGCAGCCCGCAGCCCGCGGGGCGCAGGTCGCCCGCCGGAGCCACAGCCCCTCGGGCCGCGGCGACCTCGCCTGACCCCGCTCTCCGGGCGCCCAGACCCGACGAGGGCCGCCCCCCGCCCTGACGCCTGTCTGCCTCGCAGCTCCGCTTCCCCGCCCGGACTTTGGAGCCTGTTCTGCATTGGCGTTTGGAGCGCGGTCGCCTGGGAGCCGCGGCGCCGGCGACGGGAGCGCAGCGGAGGAGGCCGGTGGCGGGAGCCGGTCCCAGCCCCCAGCCCGCGGGTAACCTTGGCGGCGCCCTCGGAGAGGGTGAGTGAGTGCGGGCGAGGAGGCGGGAGGTGGGGGCGGGGAGGAGGAGCGGGTCCCCGGCTCCTCCCGGGATCTGCGGGCTGCAGGGGCGCCCAGGTCCCCCGGCCTGGGCCCTCCGGCGACTGTCCCCCAGGAGGCGGCAGCTACCCCACTGGATCCGTCCTGCAACCTGCGCCTCTGGCCTAGGGCCATAGGGCGACGAGGGAGCAGGGGCCAGCGGGCCGGCGAGTGCCCCGCTCTCCGCAGAGGTGAGCTTGGCTGCCGGACTCGGGAGCCACTCCTTGCCCAATGCCAAGGCCAGCGCTCCCTCTCCTCCTCCCCCACCCTGACAGCTGAGGCCAGCCGGGCTCCGAGCCCCGCGTCCAAATGCGGTGGCGGCAAATAGCCTCTCTGGCTTCTCAGCCACAGACCATTCAGGAGGGTTCGCTATGGTGTTTGCTGTTACCATTGACCTCCTTACATTAACCAAACGTCCAGGATTGAAAATACACGTTCATTCCGAAAGACCCTCAGAGTGAAACACAGAGGACTGCAGGCCTGCAGGGACTTTGTGTGGAGCCGGGGTTCGCAAAACACCTAGAAGGAGTCGGTTTTTCCGACTCAGAATAGATCTGAAAATGGAATATGGATCTTCAGCGATGCCTCAGAAGAACAAAACGTCCTCAGATCTGGGTATTGACTTTGTAAATGGAGGTGTCAATGAAATGTTTTGCCATCTGCTAGAGAAAGGAGCGAGTTTCAGGTGTTAGGATGTGGGTTTGGAATTTTCTGCGCCTTCTTCAATCCTCAAAGACATCAAAAAAGGGCATGGTAACACACCAGGCAAGCGAGCAAAGGTATTCCTTGCTGCCCACAGCACCGGCAAAAGCACAAGGGTAACTCACATTTTGTTTCCTGAGTTCTAAAATGGCTTCTGAACCATCCAGAGGTACCAGCACATACGAGAAAGGGGAAGAGATGGGACGGGAGGAGAATTTGTACATTAAAGAGAAATACACAGATATTATTACACTTCAGCTATTCCACCTCACCTCTCTTTCTCCCCACCCCCATTCTCATTGGTCAGTATGCAGGCCTATTCAGAATCCTCTTCTCTCATTACCCCATTCTAAAAATCTAGTTAGCTAAAAATATCAGCTCTTTTTGGCAGAAAGTTTAAAAACCTTATCAAAACTACCCATCATTTCTTTTGAACAATAAAAAGAAATCCTACATATAATTAATAGTATAAAAGAAGAA